ATCCTTGGTCTTGGCGTTGGAAAAAGCATTCTTTTTGCCATGGAGCTACCATATAAACAACAGAGTCAACCTTTGTGTGTGAGATTGAAATGTTTGCGTAAAGAGAACTGGTGATGGTAGTCCCGGATGTATGAGTGAGTGCATCAGTGCTATCGAGGTTCTGAAAAGATAATTGAATCCTATCCCAAAGATTGAGGTAATAAAGCACATTGTAGATGAAAATTCCGTATTTATTCATTTCATTTATATATATATATATATATATATATAAATCATATGAGATCTTTCGTGGGAAGCATTGTGTATACAGTTCTAAGATGCCATTCCGCGAAAGAATTTATAGTAACAAGTACTCCTCATCAACGGTTCTGAATTGTGAGGCGAGGAATTGTGGTGCGTCATACCAAGTTTAGCAGCTTGTTGATTCTGCCGCGTTACAAAATTTCCGTTCAGATCCTTGCTTGTATTTATGAAAATGTAGTTATGATCATACCAATAGAAGACCAACAAGGAGCACAAACAATATGTGCACTATTCCCTTGTTTACCACATTGGCACAATCTCTATGCATTCGTTTTTAAGTTAAAAAAGGTTAATTTAAAAACCGTGCACTGCTCAGTTACACAATCGTGGTCCCTGTTACCTACTGAATTGTAACAGTATCCTAAAAAATACTTGAAAAAGAAAATCGGTCCACGTGTGTTTATTCTGTTGGTAGTTTTCTTTTCTAAAATCCCAAATTATGGTATGTTATTCACAATGGAATAGTTGAAAATTATCGATAAACAAACTCAGAATAGCTATTTTATCCTAATTACAACTCATCGGGAATGAACGCGTGTTGTGTCCCATTTGCGTTTCACGTGTAGTAATTAAGGAACGATGCCTTCTCAGAGAGTGAAAAGCAGATATAGCGGGGGTAAATCCAAATTTTGGTTTCATTATTGACTGTACATAAATAAATGACGCATGGCGGATATGAGTGGTAGGTTTAGATTATATGATATCCATGTAAGAATCGTTAAGAAACAAGTTAACTGCTAGTAAAAAATACATTGAATTATGAGTATAACCACCAATGAACAAACATCCGTTAAATTATCATTTCCTTCGAATTTTTACTCTTGTGTAGAGGAGTCGGGAACAACACAAATTAGACCCCCCGCGCTCCAGGTTATATGACATAAGATGCGACTGCAAATATGGTCCAATCTCATTGGGATGCGCGCACTCACACAGTCAAAGTGACAGATTGGGGTTTGAGATTGACAGAACAGGATTCTCACCAATTTCGGGACATCATCTTCTGCTTCTAACCAACGTTGCTTTTTCTAAAGCAGCTGCCATCTTTTCTGTTCTAAATAACAAGTACTGTAGGTAGATCATGAAAAACGTTGAACTGGAAGAAGGCGGGCAGCAGAACTGATTTTCTGACGTCGTAGTTATTAGACCTCACAAAGAAGACTTCTGCAAACAACTGGACATTATGACCAGTCACGGTAGGGCTGCTACCGTGGATCCGATCTCTCACCAATCCCCTGTGCTCTACTGAGTGTGACGGGTTACCTTTGACCTTTGCATTGATATTGCTAAGTGAAGTGTTTTTGTTGTTTATAGGTTTGTCATTGTTCTGACAGAATGTTCACATAAATGTTTGTACACAGCTGAAAAGAAAACGCAAAACATTCGCGTTCAACCTGCTCCTTGATGATGCTTGTCCTCACTCTTTTGAAATTCCTGATGGGAACTAGATGTTTGAAATTCTCTATTTCCAATGAGCAGTTTCCGTATTTTATTTCTATCTTTGGTTCACTGACCGTGTTTTGTCTTGCGTTTCTAAAAGTGAAACACCTCATCTCAGTTCTCTGGGGGAAAACAGAAACTAATAACTCGGAACAAATGCTACTACTGCTATTATTATTTGCTGCATTATCCGCAGTTTACAATCTCTAAACTGCGTCCTTTCTTCTAGCCTCGCTGTGCCAACGAGATCAAATTTAGATTTATTATATCAATTCCAATAACCACAATAAATGGGCACGATATGCTCAGCCCATACCTTAAACCTGTCCCCATGATCCGCACGGGATTGATTTAGGTTTATTCAACAGCCTTATTATGTTTACAATAACCAACACTATCGCAATGTGCAGTCTGTTCCAGATTTGAGGCGGTTGTTAAAATTATATTGATTTATATGTCAATAAGAGCTTCTCGTCTCAAAAGCGGTTTCAAATGATGCCGGGAAATAAAATACCATGCATTCTATTTTGGTAATGAAAGCTATCGTTCCAATTCCCCGAAGGGTTTACTTTCTCTGTCGATCATTGCCGTCTAATCTGTTCATCTGCGCTTATTCTCTTGGAATCTTTTGGATTGCTTATATTTTTTTCAGAAACACCTAACGCGTAAGTTTGCATTTATCAAGGGTAGATAACACATAATTCGATGAAGCTCTTGCTATGCTCCATTTCTCCCTGAACATTTTATGATAAATAGCACCAACTGGCGGATTTGCTGTTGCAAGTGGTTGACGTGCTGATGTGTTTTCGATGACGATATAAACACACTATCCGAAAAAATTGTCAACGTTGTTAAACTGTCAATACCTCACGGTCCAAAGCAGCAAAATCACTTTGTTTTCAGACGTAACAAAAAGGAGCTCACAAATGGGTTATGGTATAGGGAATACTCAAAAGATCGTCGTACGATTATGCAGTAAGAAACTTTGGGTTAACTAGTTGCCTCACAAAGGGGTTGGATTTGTGTTTTCGGATAACGACTCTTAGAAGAATTGGGTATTCAAAATTTACTCTGATAACCTTCAAATAAATGTGTGACCAAACAAATTTTCTAATTAAGGATTCCTGGAAAGATCCTCCGCCTTGCTTCCGGCAAAGGGACAGTCGTCCACTTTAACAAAACAGACTTCAGACTGATTTCTTGGAAATTAGATTTACTTTACCTTAAGAGTGCGTCTGAAGTTCTCTTCCTTTCATTGAATCTAGACAAATGAAAATAATAAAGGGAGTTTACTATTTCTTTTGCATTCGCAATAAATTCCCAACGAAGATATATTCAACTTTTTAGACACATAACACCAGACTATACCCCAATTTGTTTAATGATGGGGTTTATTATCTCTTTTTATGCAAACTTTATTTTCTATTTCAACAACCAGTCTTAATTTATGAGTTAGTATATTGTTTAGAAAATTGCACGTGGACATCATGCGTTATTTGTTATTTGTCATTTTTATTGTGATTTGTAAGATTCTACTCAATAAATGATCTTCCAACTAATAATTACATTTACAGTTATGTTCAGCTGGATTACAAATTACAATGCACTGCGTTTTCTTAATCACTAAATTATTCAATGAATGTTTTAAATTTGATTGAAAATATAGTTAAAGTAACTCCGTTTCCATTTCCTTTTCATTCATTGGCCAGTTTTGTCAGACATTTTCAATGTGAGGTTTTCACCTTAACCAGAAATTAAAAAATGACTGAATTCATTCCTGTTTGTGCATTATCATCAAGGTAAGGTAAAATAAAGGCTCTTTTCTAAGGTTTGTTTCTCACCACATTAGGATATTTTGACAGGCTTACTTGAATCAACCTCGTGTTCATAATTATCTCGTGATTAGTCTTTTGAATGTGTTTTGCTGATGTAGAAGAAATAGAATCAAGAAGTGACTTAAACTGTGAGTTAAACATATCAGATTCCAACAGAACCCGCACTCACTCTATGCATGTGGGTGTTCTGTATCATTCATTGTTCGAGGGACCCAGACAATGTGGATGAATGAGTAAACACCGTTAGNTTCCCCGACTGTCGCTCGGATTCCGTGCGGTTCCCATTGCATTTAGCATACACAGTTCCCCATCTTTCGTGGTGAACGGACCGAATGATCCATGATAGGCCGCCGAATGAATCACGTGACCGTGATCGTCCCGGGTCGGACGGCATCGGGCACACAACTTGCGGAAAAGATCTTTCAGCTGCGTCCGAAAACGACGACCGAGAAACACGTAGATGAAGAAATTTACACCGCTATTCAAGCAGACCAAAGCATTGGTGACTGGTCGTGTTAGATCGATAGCGGCTCGATTTTGTAACAAATAAATCACTTGATAACCTACTGCAGGTAGTTCACAGACCAAATAAATAACAATCACACCAACACAAAGTCTGTTGACTTCACCTGTCCGTGATCTGGTGGATTTCTCTACACGTACAAAATAGGCATGATTCTCCGGGTTCGTGTTCTGTGAGATGGATATGTGAGATGAATGTTCCTGTTCGACACGGAGTGAAGTACAGTTACAGTGTCGATTTGCACAATCCACTCGAGCCATGATTTGTGCTCTCCTCGCATTTGCATACTTGATACCTCGAATGAGTAGGACATTCAGCACACCAATAATCACATTCGGCAGAGTAACAATTACCACTGTATATAGAATGAGTCGATAAGCCAAGCGGAACACATAACTATCATGAACCCACTGTCTGACTACACTGTGGTAGATCAAGGTACCCACGGGCAAGTCTGGCTGGTCCCACGTGTATGNCGCACCCCAGTGCAGAATAGGGGTTTTGCACCTACAATCAGAAAATGGGGAATGTTATACAGAGCCGAGCAGACGGCAATCAGAATGATTGATAGGCGGGCCTTTTTTCGAGTGCAAATGCTCGGCGCGTGTAGTGGTTTGCAAACGGCCACCCACCGTTCCAAAGAGACGAGGACAACCATCCAATTACGCATCATACGAACAGCCATCCCGGAGCCGTAAAGCACATTGCTGGTGTGGGCATATAGATTGATGTAGGATATCCACAACACAAAGAACGACAGCGTACGTAAGAACTGGAAGAACAGACATCCGACAAGAAACATAGTATCACATATTGCCAGTGCAGTGAGAATCAGGCTCGTCGTGCCATGCGACCGGTCACGAATGAGGACGAAACAGCTGAGTACATTTCCGGTAATTCCGGCCAAAAGAACTGTCCCCACAAATACCACATCCCAAAAGAAGTTGTAAATCTGCAACCAAGGTGGTCTGGCCAGATCGGGAAGCGGACCATAATATTTCAACTGAAATTCGTTGTTCGACGGAATGTGGAGAATTTCGTTGCATGCGGAGAACAAATGAAGTAGGGTTGTGGAATTTAATGAGTATGGGTTCATCACATTGGTCCCGTTCGGTAAAGGGTCCGTATAGAATGACATACTTTTTCAAACGCCTAAATGGTCACTCTTGCATGAATGTTATTGCATCTGATATCATTGAAAAATGCTAGTTTCTGATTCAAAATCGCGTTACCAGATCATAAAATGTTTGGAAACCAATGAAACCTCATTTGAGAAAGGCTATGTTCTAATTGGTTCAAAGTTTAAGTGAATCCCGCTCTGAACCAATCAGATTTGACTGTGTGCATTACGGTGCGTAGCTGTGCCTTACAATGACTGCTATGCTGAAACGTTTCCTGAATTAGGATGGCGTTGACGTGTGACACACCGCGGGAACTATACGTTTTAAGAATCCAAAGAGGTTAGTGGTGTTCATAGAACGCACAGTTTGGTATCTTCAAATCCACTTGGTCATGATTTTACTGATTCAAGTGCTTGGGCAATTTCGTTAAGGTTCCCCTTCACATATAAATACAAGCTAATTCTACTTAGCTATATCCAACGCTACTTTTAGAGTACTGATGAAAAAGTATTGGCATTTTACAACTGATGGTTAGAGTCAATGTGAAAAAGAAATTTTCATAGACCAATTGGGGGCACCAGATATTCTCAAATTACAAACTGTGAAATCACACTTTTATTCATATGCATATGAAAGCGTGACGAACCAAATCAGTCATTGATAACGAAACAGATTCAACACTAGCTTAAGTGAACTGTTTAAAGTGTTTAAAGAACCAATTTTTCCATAAAACAATGATTTCTTTCCATATTTGTTCGTGGGTCAATATAGCTGACAATCCAGTCGAAAATTGATGAAGGTCTCAATCTCCCCGATGATTGTAATTTTTTGCTGATGGTAAAGCCAGATTCAATTATAGATCTTGTTGTTCAACGCATTTTTAATGAGCCGCAAGAGAAAACACTGAAATCCAACGGAATGCCTCGGCATTTTGCCCAAATGGAGACAAAATGCAGTTATCACTTTCCTTTTAGACGATTGGTCCTCGATTCTGCAGCACTGCCTTCAACGTGTACTTGCAAATGTGGCAGTGAAACCTCAAGACTGTCAATCAATACAATTGTTCATCTTCATTCGATGTACGGAGTGCTTTGTGAATGAAAACGCTTCGGTGGATGTCTTCACTACCCTGTTTAATTCTTTCTAGGCCGGATGGATACCAATTGCAACCAGAATTTTATATTTAAGTGCCTCGCTATCGCGCGTTGTTGAATTTATTTAAGAACAGGTAAATATCACGCTACCTTGAAATTACTCACTCAATACCCTAAGATTTCTACGGGAGGTAAAACCCTACGAAGACTGTGCAGTTAGAGGCTGTGACAGTGGTGGTATGGGATAGGATCCGGCAAGTGAGACAAACTACCAGGAGTTAGGTGTTACTGTGTGATGCGAAGCGACATTTTCTGCGGAGCCGGGAGTGTTTTGATGTCTGTGAACCTGTTCTTATGTACACCCATGGCCGATGACCCACCCATCAACCGAGTAAACGTCGTATCTCGTCACCAGTTATTAACACTCATACAATCCGGCTTCTTGGTACTTTGCATTTAGATGTTAAAGAGGGTGAAGTCACAATATATACTGAAAGTTTGGATCATTTTGAGCACATAAGCTTGTGCTACATGTCACATGCATATTCACAAGGTATTGCCATGCATACGATCCATACCGCCATCGTTAAATTTGAAGGTCAAATTTGTTTGCGCTTCAAGACTGTTGACTGACTCGGCATTTAACGAAAGGTTCCACTGTCAGCTACCATTGTACCCATAGAGAGGCGTACTTCACAATACAAATAGTTGGAGCGTTCAAACCCGACCGTCAGCTGACAGTTGTTGGGTAGAGATTTCTTGACGGGGTATTCAAATGACGGCAGTTCAGCACCTCAGACCAACTTGACTGACACAATATAAAACTGTTGAGCCTAGCCCGGGAATTATATGTGCAAACCTCGAGATGAATGAGGAAAATGGCACCAAATTGGTTGAAATTAAATACCAGTATTAAGCTTCTCAGGAAGGTATACACTACGTCTTTTTAGACAAGGTTGATCGACTGCGTGTTACTCTAGTGGTTAACGTGCGTGGGTTCAACATATGGGGAATGAGCGGTTTGAATCCTCAGTCGAATGGATGGATAAAACTAAAAATGTTCGAGACACTTTTACTGGGCTTCCGAGCCCTTCAGTCAGCGTTTTCTCTGCATTTTACCCACAGCACGTAACATCCTGACAGATTTGGGTGGAAAATGTCCCAGTAATGACTGAACAGTCACGCAGAACACACTGAAAATTAGACAGGTTCTTTTCGACTATTCAGTTAGTTCAACAACCTCTATTACTTATCAAAACCAAAGCTTATCTTCCCCAGGCAATATTTTACATTCCAGATAAATGGGTGGTTGATTACACATTGATAAGATAAAATAAAAAAGTTAAATAGCGACGTGACGTGAAATTCACAATCTGCCCGTAATTGACTTTCCCTTGATCTGATCATCCAAAATATGCAGATTGAGGCCGATTTGAATCACTAGTCTGTACAATTTAGTTGTGTCCAGAGAAGCAGGATTTTCAAATAAATTTCCCTCACTAAATTGTGGTCAGCATACAACAGTGAACCTCCTGTGAAAGGCAGCTGCGAATTTTATGTGAATGAAGCTATCATTGAGTCACTTCCAAAGCAGAAATTAAATCAGTAATGAGTGATACGTTCATGATCTAGCCTCACTGGGTGTAAGTCACGTATATGTGTCGAATATCACCTTGCAATGAGATATGTACACGTTTTTCCCCCAAAATATGTAAAGTGAAAGGTCATTTCGGTTTATCCTGGGATCCAAATGAGTCGGCTCAAACTACAAAGAAACCCATTAACCTATGCACAGTTCCAGTGACAATTATTTTTATCCAAATTGTGCATAAAAGGCCGTTTCCATAAACCGAGGTTAAGGTGTACACATTACAAGAGGTATTCGTCACTTGGTCAAGATGTGGATTAATAACTGGATGCCAATATCACGCAAACTGTTTAGTCAGTTAATTTAACTGGATAAGCCCAGAGCTCCCGTGCGGTCCTATATTCCGTCAACCTGACACTAGACTGTTTAATCATCGCTTGCCATTTGTTTCCTCCTGTTGTTATCAGTTCTCTAGCCTTATCATGGTCACACGCGTGTTGCGCGCAGTAGTGTAACGAAAATAGCCTAGCCCCGAAAACCGAATTCCATTCAGGAACAGCAAAAGGGGTTCATTGCATTGTGCTAGAATTTTTCAAATTGGACTATTCTAAAGGTAGGAGGGCACTGTCTTCGTGGTGGACAAAATCAGGGGAAGGACATAGAACAGCTTTTATTTGAGTAAATCGGATCTTCTTCCTTAGGTATCTGTGGGTAATAACAATCCACAAGCCCCGATCGGCCGACCCAAGGTGTTCGAATCGATAGGATGCGCTGCGTTGCATGCTGTCAGCCCACGCCAAAGGATATTGAAATCGGCAATCTCCTCATGTAGTTTCGTTCCTGTTACAAAACCGGTGATCGGATACTCGAGAATGACGATAACTCGAGGAAAATGATTCCGTCTACTCACATAAACGGTGGGAAGGATATTTCGCTATAGTTAAGGTGAATAAGACGAATATGAAAGCTTTTTAGTTCACGCTTCCGTTACTATATACACGATGAATTCCCCTTTGAAATTTATGTTCATTTGTTCGTAATTTGCTGCGTCGTTCAACACGTGTGAGCTTGTCATATGTATCGACAGGAATTTCCATGTTTCACTATCCACATTGCGATTCAGTAAATCAGTGGTGACAAATCGTGTAGCTTGAGTGAATGGGGCTCTTAATTGAAAACATTTTTTTCCATTTTAATGAGTTCGGTGTTTCCTTGTTTACGATCAGCTGATTACAGACCAATGCTATCATTATAAATTCCCATTTTAAAAATAACAAGAAGATTGAAGGGTCTTCTTTCTAAGTTACTGTCTTTGTTGGCTGAGCACCAGCACCGATGATTGGTGCATGTCGCTTCAAAAATATGTTTGTCTTTGGTTATCACAATAGGATGAATAAATGATTGCTTTATCTCACGATCATTTGTGCTTCAGGTATATCTTTGAACAATTACGAAACATTTTAATCGAATGAATTACAATGCTCCTATTTAATGGAATGCACACTACCGAAAAGTGATTAACCCTCATCGCGAGTACTTTGGTCTACTGCTAATTACTATTACCACAAACTCCTATCTACAAAATCCCCGATCGTATGTTTGTGTACCGAAAAGACATCATTTGTCTTTGTCTCGAAGACATGCCCATGGGCGTGGCCATTGTAGACCATCCACGTGTTCTGTTGATGACAGCTCCGTTTGAGTAACTTTCAAAAGTAACATGCTTAGTTATCTGTACCGAATTGTCGTCTCAAGCTGAACACTCAAGCCTAATTTTTAAATGCTAGCTCATAATCTGTGCACATGTGAGGACACAGAAACATCCTCACCTGACAGAAAACACAAAGTTCGATTGTTCATGAAGTCTGACAGGAAAATGCGGTCCATTAGGAGGGTACGTTTTCTCAAGAAAGCAGCATCACTCGTGGTAAAATCAACAAGTGGTAAGCACCAAGTGGCAGACGGACGACCATAAAACCTCTGTAGTTCAGGCACCGACATAGAAAGTACCAGAGAACATAATTCTCTAATGAAGTCCGCTTGAAGATGTAGCTCAGTCATCCATGTTAGCATTACCTTGTTCTACGTTTATTCAAAGATCAAGAGAGTCAATTCTCACCGATTATCGTTCAACGAAGTGAGCAAAACTCTTCGCCGAATACGAACAATATAGAGACAATCCATGTTATACGAAGAAAAGCTATCAAACTCTGCGAACTCACGGATACACTTATCGGGAAACCATGATTCTTTAAACATCCTGATCCATATATGGACATGTATATTAGTACACCTCTTTTTTGTTTGATAGCTGCAACGTCAGTTATTTCCTTCA